TTCTTTGCGGGTCCCCAGATGCAGCCCCCAGCCCTTCCTTGAGAAGACAAGGGCTGCCCCAGTGGGGTCTCCAGGCTCTGGCCCCCACCCCGGGGTCTCCTCAGGGGTGATGATACGTGCCCCCGTGTGTCCCCACAGTGGTGACCATCATCAAGGGGAAGGTGGAGGAGGTGGAGCTCCCAGTGGAGAAGGTGGACATCATCATCAGCGAGTGGATGGGCTACTGCCTCTTCTACGAATCCATGCTCAACACCGTGCTCTACGCCCGAGACAAGTGGCTGGTGAGGCCCTGGAGGGGTGGGAGCGGCTCATGCGGCTGGGGTCCTCCAGCCGTCATTGAGGGCGTATCAGTCAGAGTCAGGCAGAAAACAAAAGCCATGCTAGGTATTTCCCACGCAAGGGGCTTAATACAGGGCATTGACCACATGGACGTTGGAAGGCCCACAGCCAGCACGGGGTGTAACAGGCACCAGAAGCTAGACAGCCACAAGGAGATGGTGCCATGTCAGGAGGGAGTTAGTGCCGGGAAGAAAGCCGTAGCAGGGCAGAGGGATAGGGAGGGACTGGGGGGCCGTGGTCCCAGGTGCTCAGATCAGAGCAGGCCTCCCAGGGGAGGTGACTGAGACCTAAAAGGAGGGGAAGTAGCTGCATGGGATCTAAGGGGAAGAGCGTGTTGGGCAGAGGATGTCGGCCAGTGCAAAAGTCCTGGGGCAGGCGTGCGCTTTCTGTGTGTTGAGAGCTGTGGGGAAGCTGGAGTGGACTGAGGGTCTGGAGGAACAGGAGGAGGTGAGGGGTGGAAGGGCCTGTGCAGATCTCACAGGGCCTTGTGGACCCCATGAGACTCTGGTTTACCTCTCAGAGGAGCCAGGGAGGGTTCGGAGGATCCCTGAAGGAGAGGGTCTGACGTAGGTGCTCCTGGGCGGCCATGGGCAATAGACGAGGGCAGAGGCCACTGCCGGAGTCCAGGTGGCGACTGTGACTGGAGGCTCAGCCCAGGCCAGGGGCCGCGGGGGAGATGAAGAGACCAAACCAGCAAGATGTGGGGATGGTGCTGCCAAGACCCTGCCACCCTTGACATCCTCGCCCCTACTCGTCCCCCTCCGCAGGCACCCGACGGCCTCATCTTCCCAGACCGAGCCACGCTGTACGTGACGGCCATCGAGGACCGGCAGTATAAAGACTACAAGATCCACTGTGAGCAGGGGCCGGGGGGCGGGGGCCGGGGGCGGGGGCGGGCCTGGCCCGGGTGCCCATGGGCTCACGCTCCCGCCTGCCTGCCCAGGGTGGGAGAACGTGTACGGCTTCGACATGTCTTGCATCAAGGATGTGGCCATCAAGGAGCCCCTGGTGGACGTGGTGGACCCCAAGCAGCTGGTCACCAACGCCTGCCTCATCAAGGTGAGGGGGTGGCTGGTGTTCCCCAGGGTAGGAACCAAAGAAGGACCAGCACCTGGCCCTTGTGCAAGACATCAGGCTCCAGAGTTTGCCTGAGGTCTTGGGGGCCTGACCTGTCAGTCAGAGGTGGCTTTAGAGGCTCAGAGAAGCCACTTCATTTATTAAAAAGCTTTGTAGTAGGGCCAGCCCCACGGTGTAGCGGGTAAGTTTGCACATTCCACTCCGGCAGCCTGGATTCACGGGTTCAGATCCTGGGTGTGGACCTACACCACTCACCAGCCATGCTGTGGCAGAGTCCCACATACAAAGTAGAGGAAGACTGACATGGATGTTTGCTCAGGGCCAGTCTTCCTCAAGCAAAAAGAGAGAAAAAAAAAAGAGGAGGATTGGCAATGGATCTTAGCTCAGGGCAAATGTTTCACAGCAAAAATGAAAACAAATAAATAAATAAAATAAAAAGCTTTGTGAGCCAGGCAGGCCCTTGGGGCATAGGATCCTGAGCAGGCGGGCTGGCCCCGCCCCGGGGCACACATTCCCCCGGGCACCCCTGAGGCAGGTGGCTGAGAGCCCAGGCCACGAGCGAGTTTATACACGCATGGGTCAGCCATAAAGAGTGCTGCAACCGTGATCGTTTTTTTGAGCCCCCCGTGTCTGGGTTGGGACCGTGTGGTGAACTAACGGGCTGAGTCCCAGAACTGAGGAGGGCAGAGCTGGGGGAGCGGGGAGAAGTCTGTGGCCCCGACAGGGCCAGCCTCCGTGTCCTGGGTCAGAGCCCTGGTTTGGTTCTGAGCGCACTGGGGAGGTGTTGAGGATCCTAGGCGGCGGTGTGACGTGCTTTCATTGACTGTTTGATAGTTGTCACCTTGGCTGACAGGTCAAGTAAGGGGTCTGGGGGAGAGGGCGGGAGCCGGGGCCTGTAAGAGGCCACCGCGGGGCCGGCCCTGTGGCCAAGTGGCTATGTTTGCGCGCTCTGCTTTGGTGGCCCAGGGTTTTGCTGGTTCAGATCCTGGGCGCGGACATGGCACCGCTCATCAGGCCACGCTGAGGTGGCGTCCCACATGCCACAACTAGAAGGACCCACAACTAAAAATACACAACTATGTACCAGAGGGCTTTGGGAAAAAAAGGAAAAATAAAATCTTTAGGAGAAAAAAAGCCACCGCAGTAGAGAGGCCATGGGGACCTGGGCAGGGTGGAGGCGGTGGAGGGGGCAGCAGGTGACTCCCCGAGTGGAAGTAGTTGTTTGAGGAGGTAGACGTGTCAGGTTTGAGGTGTGGATGTGAGAGGGAAACAGGAAATCCAGCGTGGCCCCCCCGCCCGCCCTGGGAGCAGGGAGCCAGTGTGGCCCCTGGGGGTCTCGCTTGAACACTGGGCTGCACGTCGGGGAGCGGGGCTCACGGGGCGTGTCCCACAGGAGGTGGACATCTACACCGTCAAGGTGGAAGACCTGACCTTCACGTCCCCCTTCTGCCTGCAAGTGAAGCGGAACGACTACGTGCACGCGCTGGTGGCCTACTTCAACATCGAGTTCACCCGCTGCCACAAGAGGACCGGCTTCTCCACCAGTGAGGCGCGGGCCGAGGGGCGGGTGGGCTGGGCAACGGGGGAGGGAGCCCCGGGGACACTGAGAACCCATGTTCTGGTGCCAGCTCTGCCAGCTAACCCGAGCGTGCGGTGCCTCAGTTTCCCCACCCGCGAAACCGCACTTCCTGTCTCTGGGGCTTCACGAGGACGGAGGGGTTCGGGGATTGTGACCACCGTCAGTGTTGAGTGAACGGTCACTGGGGGGCGTGCCCGGCAGAGGGAAGGGCAAGGCCCAGGCCTGGGGGACAGGGCAGGGCAGGAGGCCTGGCTGAGCCACCCCCGCCCCCAGGCCCCGAGTCCCCGTACACGCACTGGAAGCAGACGGTGTTCTACATGGAGGATTATCTGACAGTGAAGACGGGCGAGGAGATATTCGGCACCATCGGCATGCGGCCCAACGCCAAGAACAACGTGAGGCTCGGGGGCAGGGAGGGGCCACCTCTGCCTGTGGTGGGGCCCCCGCACCCCTCAGCCCCAAGCCAGCCAGCCTGGCTACACCCTGCTCCGGCCTCCGCCTGCCCGGGGCCCTCACGGTCTGCTAGGGAACACGATTTTATTGAGAACCTACTGGAAGCTGGGGCTTGTTCCCCAGCCCTCCTGACAGTCCCACGGTAAAGGCTGGGTGAGTGGGAATGGCCGGAGGGAGAGCTGAGCCCCCGGCAGGACGGAGCTGCCATCAGCTGAGACGAGGGCAGCAGGTCTGGGCCAAAGTCGGCAGCTCCAGCAGCCAGCTCGGTGGGCGGACGTGGGGTCTGGACCCGGAGTCGGGGGAGTGGGCCGCGCTGGCAGTGTTGCCTGGGGCCCCGCTGGGACTGGGCGTGAGGCTGGAGGATGCTCAGAGCAGCCGGATGGAGGGCAGTGCGCCAGGCTCTCGCCCGCCGTCTAGGTCTGGAAACGTTTTGGGGTGTCACCACTGAAGACGGGGTACTACTGGCCTCTAGGGGGTAGAGCCTGGGGGTGCACAGAGCAACGAGGAGTCCCCCAACTGAAAAGTGGTACTGCCCAGCCTTGGGGGTGCCGGGGGTGGGAAGCCACAGACTAGAGACAGACACCCGGAGAGGGAGGTGGAAGCCAGGAGCCCAGGTGAGGGTCAGTGAGGACCGAGGGCAGAGGTCGCTGGTGACTGGGCCCCAGCCTTTCCAGAGTGAGAAGGGCCCGGGGGGCACAGGAGTGCTGGCTTCCTGGCCGCTTGGGAGCGGGGACGGGGGGCCATCGAAGTTTGCTGTCAAGTTTTTCGGGAGGAGGAAGTGTCCCGGAGAGGGGTTTCCTTATAAAAGAAGGAAGAAATGACTTTTGCTGATGCAAATAGTCTCGATGCAAGAGACAGACCAGCTGAGCTCTGGCCCCCAGGGACAGTTTGAGGATGTCACGTGGCGCTGTCACTGGGAGTCAGATTAAGGGCAGATGCTGGGTGGGACCAGCAACATGGATTCTGCAGTCTGGACATGAGCTAAAAGCAGGACCCTGGGGTCTCTGGGGCGGGGTGTGGACAGCTGGGACCCCCTCCGCCGCCTCCCCACAGTTGTGCATCTCCGCCCGCCCAGCACGGTCCCCCTCACGCCCGCCCTCTCCCCACAGCGCGACCTGGACTTCACCATCGACCTGGACTTCAAGGGCCAGCTGTGCGAGCTGTCCTGCTCCACCGACTACCGGATGCGCTGAGGGGCGCGCTTCTCCCCGGGCCGGCCGGCCCTGCGCGCACCCAGGGGCTGCGGCATTCTTAGCTGGTTTCGGGGGTCCCCCTTCCTCTCCCTCCCTCCCACAGAAGGGGGTTTTAGGGGCCTGGGCCGGGGGGCGGGGCACATCGTGACTGTGTTTTTCATAACTTATGTTTTTATATGGTTGCATTTACGCCAATAAATCCTCAGCTGGGCCGGCTCCGCTTCCTGGGGGCAGGGCGGGGGCGGGTCCGTCTGCAGGGGCCACGGTGGCCACCGGGAGTGCCAGGACATCGGGACAGCGTTCCCACTTGTGTCTCTGGGTCTGGTTCCCTTTCGCGCCTTGGAGGGTCTCTGCGCCCTGCAGCCCTCCTCCTCAGGGTCTTGGCCCAGCTCACGGCTCACCTCTCTCCCAGGGTCTCTTCCCTGATCCCTCTCTCGGGGTCTGTGTCCCCCTTCCCCTGAGGCACTGTTCTGCCCTGTTCCCTCCTGTCCCTGAGGCTTCTGCTCTGGGCTGCCCTGCTGGGCTGGGGGAGGGTGGGGGTGGGGGTTCCCAGCACAGCTGGGCCCTTGTTTCCCAGAAGGCCGGCTCCCCGCCTCCCCACCAACACACACATTGTTCCTCTCTGGCTGTTTTTTCCTGTCTGGGACCCTCCAAGGCCAGGCCAGGGCTGACTGGCAGTGACTACTGCCCTGCCCTCTGCAGCTGGGGAAACTGAGTCTGGGGGGGGGCTTATAACTTGGGGGTGGGGGTCCATGGGGGAGCCCACCTTAGGGCAGCAGGGCCTCCCCACTTTACAGAGACGGACGCCAAGGCCCCGGTCCCCTCCCTCACAGCTCCCCAGGGGCTGCCTACACATGTCCTTTCCCATGGCCTTGTCCACAGAGCCCCCTTGTCCCCCAGGGTGCTGGCCACACTGCCTGGATGACCCGAGACAACATGCAGCTCTTTCCATGGCCCTGACTACACCGGCTTCAGCACAGCTGGGGCACTGGCCCAGCACACCTGTCTACACCTCCTCTTCCAGGATGGTGTCCGTGCCAGCTATGCTGGGGCCCAGTCTCTGTCCCCAACCCCAGACGGCTCCGACGGCACATGTCCCACGTTGCCCGGCCCCCTCTGGAAGTCGCCTGGCCCCTGAGAGGCTGGTCAGGGTCGGGGTGAGGGTGAGGTCACATCTACACTGGAGCCCAGCGTTTCCCTGCCCCCATCCCTTTCCTGGAAGCCAGCTGCCTTGTCACCACTTGCAGGTGTCAGCTGCCCCGCCCCTCTACCCTCGGCCTTAAAGGGTCGCGTCTCCCAAGGCCTCCCAGGGGCACAGACAGCGCCGCGGCGGGACAGCATGCCCACAAGGGCCTCGTGGGTGCGGGTTCTCATCTTGCCCTTCTGGCGTGGTGCAGGCTCCTAGACTCGGCCTCAGTTTACCCCGCCTGGGAAGTGGGGACCGGTCCTGAGTCCCAGCTACAGCGGGCGCTCAGAGGGCATCATCCGGACGCGGGGAGGGGGCGGGGCCGCACCCCGGAGGGGCTGCTTCGCCCACCGCTCTCCCCGCCCCACCCCGCGATGGCCGCCCACATCCTCCTGCTGTGTCTCCTCGCCTCCTCAGTCCTGGGGGACCCGGACTCCGCGGGCAGGTGAGAAGGGCCGGTGGCAGCGGGCACAGGGCGGGAAGGAGCCGGCGGGGCGCGTGCGCCCTTGTCGGGGGATGGGACGGTGAAGTGCCAGCGCGAACCCGCTCTCCCCCGCTCCCTCCGCAGGCGGCCCGGGCCCCAGGCCCCCCAGCCCCGCGGGCGCCCCTGTTCCCTGGGCACGTGCCAGGCCCACCGCCTGCCAGACATCCTACACTGGCTGCGCTCCGCCTCCACCAAGGAGCCCTCGGCGAAGGCCGGCCGCGAGCCCCAGGACCCCCGCAGCTACGGGCGCCGGCGGCGGCGCGGGGCCAGCGTCCCGCTGCGGCTCCAGGACCCCAGCCTGCGACAACGAAGCCAGCGCAGGGCCCAGCTCGCCGCGTGACGTCGGGCACGTCTCTGCTCCTCTCCTCGCCTCAGTTTATCCATCTGTAGATTGGGGCCAAGACCCCAAGTTTCTTTGCCCCTAACTCTACCTCCTGGGCTCACAGACCATCTTTCCCTCCCCCGTGCCCCGCCCCAGGCTGTGACTGGGCTGGACCCAGCATGGACAAAGAATATTCACGTCCAGAGCCGAATAAAACGAGAGCTCCATGTTTCAGTCTCTGCTTGTCTGTGCCCATTCCGGCCTCCTAATCCGAGCCCGGTCCCTAATATATTCTTCCCCTTTATCCATGCACCTGTTCCCTCACGGAAGTCCCTCTGGCTGTCTAACTTGAATCCAATCCTCCGTAGCGCCTCTTTCGCGCCAACTCAACTCATGCAGCTGCACCTCCCGTGGGGGGCTTTGGTGGGCCGACCTGACCCCAAAGCAGCCCTCCGCCCCCCGCAGAGTGGTAGGGCTGCCATCCGCTCCGGCTGGATACCTCACGCGCGTGACTCGACTGTACTCAGAGGTGGGCTGTGCGTTCCAAGCTGAGCCCCGTTCCTCGAAGAGAAAGGAGAGCGAGAGAGACAAAGCGGCCTGGGGAGCCGAAGAGCCCGGTGCTCAGAGCGGAGATGCTGCCTGAAACCGGGGAGGCCGAACGCTGGAGAATCGGGCCGGGCAGCCGGAGACCGAGGACTGGGGATCGAACGGAGGGAGCGGATTGGACGCTGGGACCCGAAGGGGGCGGGGACAGGAGGCCGCGATTGCAAGGGGGCGGGGACAAAGCCGGGGGCTGGAATACCGGGCTAGGCGCACGCGAGACCGAAATCGGGGTTCCTGGATGTTGGACAATCGGGGGCGGGCAGGAGCTCCGGAGACCCGTTGACCAAGTCGTGAACTCGTCGCACTGAGATTGGACATATGCAAGTGGGAGACTTGGGTCCGGCGCTCTAAATCGGGGGTCGGGGTGGGGGGTGTACTCGGGCTTGGTGCCCAGGATCCGATCGGCGGCCCCCTGACTCAGCGAGGTAAGCACCGGAGCGGAGGAGGGGGCTGGGGGCCTGTGTCTTGGGTCGGGCGTGCCGGCCTCTCCATCACTTGTTCTCGACGCTCGCCTCGGCTCCCAGCCTCAGCATCCCTGGCTGCGAGGCATGCGCAGTAGGGCGCTCCCTCCCCCGTCCTCTCCAACACGGGGCGGGGGTGAGGGGACGCTGGGCCACCCCAGAGCGGATGAATTTATAGACATCCCCCCCTCGCCCCCTGCCTTGGAATGGGAAGCGGAAATGGGGTGGACAGTGCCAACGTCCGGCAGGTGTTCGCTTTAAATAGGTCTGGGACTTTCTCTCGAGATCTCGAAACTCACCCTGGACCGGTTTCCTGCCCCCACCCCCGAATCTTGAAAGACCTATGTGGGGGGGGGGGCGCTGCCCCCGCACCACGTTCTCAGCAGAGCCGCAAAAGGGGTTAACGCGAGTTATCCCTCCCGCCTCTCTATGCGTTCACAGAGGTCTCCACTGACGTCCCCCAAAACACTGGGGTCTCGGGCTGGGACCCTCAAGACCCCTCAGGTGGTGAGAGAAGGATGAGCGGGCGTCCTATATGCCTGAGTGGGAGGGAGGAGGCGGCTGGGGGCCCGGACTCCCGGGTCTGCGGGAGGAGGGGACTGGGGACCTGGAGAATGACCCTCTGTCCCCCTCCCAGGGCTCTAGCGTGACATGGCTGAAGCGCACCAGGCCGTGGGCTTCCGACCCTCGCTGACTTCGGACGGGGGGGAAGCGGAGCTCAGCGCGCCCGTCTTGCAGGAGATCTACGTCTCCGGGCTGCGCTCCTGGAAAAGGCATCTCTCCCGATTCTGGGTGAGGAGGGCTGCGGCGTGGTCTCCTTCCTTCCGGGAAGGCGGCTACCTGCTTCCGGGTTGCACTTCCGGCATGCTGGTGGTCCCGCTTCTGGGATCTCATCAACCCCTCCTGGGAATTCTGATGTCCGCTTCCAGGAGCCCTTAAAGCTATTTCTGGGTTCGCTGTGGCTCACTTCTGGGCTCGGTTACCTGACCTACTGCGAACCCCTATTCACCTACTGCACCCACTTCTCCGACAGCCCCCCCCACTTTCCCCACACCCCCCACACACCTTCCACCCCAATTTCTAGAACTCAGTCCCCTTCTCTCATGGGGCACCTCTCGTCTTTCCCTTTCATCTCCAGGCTTTAAAGTGGGGGCTCCCCATTCCAGAACCCCATGACCTGATCAAGATCTTGGGCAGCCGGCACCCCAATCCTGAAGGCCCCTCCTTTCCCCTAGCCCTTGCCTCTGGGGTCGGAGGGCCCCCCCTTGCGCCTGCTCCTGAGCCCCCAGTTTCCCCGTCCAGTAGGCGGGGTGCCCTCCCTACGCTTCTGAGATGGGAGCCCCAATGTCCGGACGCTCCACTTCTCCCTCGCCACTTCTGCCCCAGCTCTGACGGACCAAACGCCCCCTCCTCGCCTTTGTTCCCGAAGCCCGAGCCCAACATCTAACCAGAACCCACGTCTGCCCCAGGGGCCCCGGTTCTGGAGCTCGGGCACTGTGACCACACAGCGCCTCCCTGCGGGTTACACCCTCTGTGAACAGAGGTCTTGAGCACCTGTGGCATCGCCTCAGCCTGAATTGGGTCCTGGCTCTGCCACTGACTAGCTGTGTGGCCTTGGGCCAGCGCGCCTCTCTGAGCCTCAGTTTCCCCACATGTAACGCGGGATGAGGAGAGCACCTCCCTCACAGGACAGTCTGCAGGATGAAATGAATTCTTACCTGTAAGCACTCAGCCAAGAGCCCGGCCCGTGGCGCGTGCCGAGTGAGGGTTAGGTTTTGATAACATCGTTTGTGACTCGTTCACCAAATATTGATGGCACCTGGATGGTTAAGGGGCCTGGCACTGTTTAGGGCACAGGGGACTCGGCAGGGAGCCAGCTAGCCAGACTCCTGTGCTCAAGGAGCTCTGGATTTAGTTGGAGGAGGAGGCACTAAGAAAGATAAATAAACAGAACGTAGAGTATGTTAGATGGTGAGTGACGGGGCCTATGGAGCCCAGTAAAGTGGGCGGGGAAGGGGGGGGTGTTGTAATTAAATAAAGGGCAGCCCAGGAGGATGTCCCAAAGCGGAGACACTGATTGTTAAGATAGAGCTGTATCTTTTCCATGGGGCTGGCCCCATGGCCTAGTGGTTAAGTTCGGTGCGCTCTGCTTCTGTGGCCTGGGTTCAGATCCCAGATGTGGACCTACACCACTCGTCAGCCCTGTTGTGACAGCGACCCACATACGAAATAGAGGAAGATGAGCACGGATGTCAGCTCAGGGCGAATCTTCCTCAAGCAAAAAGAGGAGGATTGGCAACAGATGTTAGCTCAGGGCCAATCTTCCTCAGCAAAAAAAAAAAAAAGAGAGAGAGAGAGAGATGTATCTGTTGCAGTGGGTAAATAGCCGCGACTACCCCAAACGCCCAACGACTCCCCTTCAGCCCTGCCCATGGGACCCCCTAGGCCTCTGCCCAATCCATCAACTAAAGCATTAACATGTGGCCATTAACCTGTGGTTAGATATATAAACACACATATACATACACATCCATGTATATATTTAAACTAAGATCTAATTACATACAGAAAACTGCACAGATTTTTAAAATATACAGTCCTTGGATTTTTAAAATACCTGTGTAGCCAACTTCCCATCAGGACAGCATTGCCACTATTCTAGAATGTTCCTTCAAGCCCCTTGCTAGGCAGCACCTCCCACTCGAGGCGACCACGGTTGTGATTTCTATGCTTATAGACAGATTTTGACCAGTATCGCATTGTCGAATATTTTGACTGTCACCTCTGCGTTCAAGTCGACCCCTAAGTCCCTTTTCAGAGGCAAATGTCCCCTACGGCCAATGGCCCCACCAGACCCTCCCATTAGTATGAACTGATCATTGTAATAATGGTCACTTTTATCTTTCCATCACATAGCCACCTCTCCCCCTGATGGTCACTTGGAGCTCTCATGTCCTTCCTCTTCCGGGGGGACCCCAGGAGCCCCCCTGAAGCCACAGCCCTCAGCATCACCAGGGGGCAAATTCCGTAGACTCATGGCCAAGCCTCAGTTTCTTCATTTACAAAGAGGGAACCCTGCCGGTCCCTGCCTCGAGGGATTGATGTAAGCATTAGTTGCCTTGGCAGGAGGCCTGGCTCATAGAAGTGACCAGTCCAGCATCGCCATTCTTATCTTCTGCCCCACAGAGGTGCTGTGTGACCTCGGGCACGGCAGTAACTTCTCTGAGCTTGTGCTTCCTCATGTCTAAAATCATATTAGGTAGCGGCATGTCCCGGGCTCTATATTAACCAAGCCCTTTAAATCTATTACTCCTCCAGTCCTCATTAGGGCATCCTACAGTAGACCCATCGTTAATCCCGTTTTATAGATGAAGAAACTGACGCCCAGAGAGGTGCTTTCAGTTTCCCAAGGTCACACAGCAGCTAAGATGCAGCACTGGGGGCAGAACTACAATTAGCAATCTGGCTCTGGAGCCCCTGCTGATGCCCACTATCCTGGGTGGCTTTTCTAGAATGCAGTTGGTCCCTGTACCTATGCCACAGGGCCGCTGTGAATTACATGCAGTGGGTCACTTAGCCAAGCACGTGGTACAGTATCCAGCACCCAGCGGCCGGCTCATCAGCAGGCGCTCAGAGTGTTCCCCGAAATGATTTCCAGATGAATATGAGACCCGGAGACACAGAGGACCCCAGAGTGCGGTCCCTTGCAGGGCGTCCCGCTGCACGAGAGTCACCAGGCATCCGGATGGTTTCAGCGGTGGATAGTGGATCCTGGAGCCGGAGAACCGGGTTCAGATCCCGACTCCACCAATGCCCAGCTGCATGGCCTTGGACGAGGTCTTCAAACTTACCCCCTCAGCTTCCTCTCCCAGGAACGGAGATAATAATAAGGACTCCCTTCCTGAGCTACCGGAGACTGAAATGACTAACGATGCGCCGGCCTCGGGAAGCGCTTCCTGTTGTTAGGAAGCCCCTGTGCTGTTGCAGCTCAGAGCCCCAGACGCGAGGATGGGCGACTTTTAAAAAGAAAAGCCAGGGGCCGGCCCGGTGGCGCAGCGGTTAAGTGCGCATGTTCCGCTTTGGAGGCCCGGGGTTCCCCGGTTCGGATCCCGGGTGTGGACATGGCACCACTTGGCAAGCCATGCTGTGGCAGGCGTCCCACGTATAAAGTAGAGGAAGATGGGCACGATGTTAGCTCAGGGCCAGTCTTCCTCAGCAAAAAGAGGAGGATTGGCAGCCGTTAGCTCAGGGCTAATCTTCCTCAAAAAAAGAAAAGAAAAGAAAAGAAAAAGAAAAAGCAGAGCCAGCCCGGATGGCCTAGTGGTTAAAGTTCGGCATGCTCCCCTTTGGCGGCCAGGATTCGGTTCCCGGGCATGGAACCACACCACCCAGCTGTCAGCAGCTGTGCTATGGCAGTGGCTCACACAGAAGGACCTACAGCTAGGATATACAACCACGCACGGGGGCTTTGGGGGAGGGAGAAACAAAAGAAATATTAAACAACAAAAATAACCACAGTGGTCACTAACCTTTTCCTGCCAAGTCAAAGGAAGATGTCAAGTAAATCAATCCGCAATGAGAAGGAGGGTAGCAACAGAAAGGATCGTTGTAATAACTAACGTGGATTGAGCGCCTCCTGTGCGCCGGCTCTGAGCTCCGCAATCCGCCCCCTCCCAGCCCTCCTCCCTGATTCATGTTTCTCTGCCATCTGACCCACAACACGAAAGCCTTTAAAATGTAGGGATTGTGACGGGCCAGCCCGTTGGCGTAATGGTTAAGTTCACGTGCTCCGCTTCCGTGGCCTGGGGTTCCCAGGTTCGGATCCCCGGCATGGACCTAGCACCGCTTGTCAAGCCAGGCTGTGGCAGCATCCCCCATACAAAATAGAGGAAGATGGACACAGGTGTTAGCTCAGAGACAATCTTCCTCAAGCAAAAAGAGGAAGATTGGCAACCGATGTTTGCTCAGGGCCACTCTTCCTCACCAAAAAAAAAAAAAAAAAAAAGCAAAAACCCCACAAAACATAGGTATTGTCTCTACCTCTGCTGAGAGCAGGAGTCTTGCTGTCTTGTCACTGCCATAGGACTGCCATCAGCATTTGTGGATGATATTGTCTCACCCAATGCTTGTGACAGTCCTATGAGCCAAGTACTGAGACTGTTCCCATTCTACAGATGGGGACACTGAGGCACAGAGAGGTGAAGTCACTTGCTTGCGGTCACTCAGCTAGTTAGTGACAGAGCAGAGATGTGAGCCCAGAGGGTGGGGCTCCAGGCCCGAGTTCTCTGAGGAAGATTGGTCCTGAGCTAACATCGGTTGCCAATCTTCCTCTTTTTTTTTTTCCCTCCCCAAAGCCCCAGGACATAGTTGTGTATCCTAGTTGTAGGTCCTTCTAGTTCCTCTGTGTGGGACGCCACCACAGCATGGCTTGATGAGCAGTGTGTAGGTCCACACCCAGCATCCGAACTGACAAACCCCAGGCCACCGGAGCAGAGTCCACGAACTTAACCACTCAGCCACAGGGCCGGCCCCTCAGCAGTCTAATTTTTATCTGTCACCACACATATGTGCCCCTTCACCCCTCTTGCCCTCGCCCTCCCCCTTCCCCTCTGGTAATCACTAATCTGTTCTGTTTGTCCATGTGCTTGTTTATCTTCCACATAGGAGTGAAATCATTCAGTGTTTGTCTTTCTCTGTCTGACTTATTTCGCTTAACATCGTACCCTCCAGGTCCATCCATGTTGTTGTGAATGGGATGATTTTGCCTTTTTTATGGCTGAGTAGTATTCCATTGTTTACATACACCACATCTTCTTTATCCAATCATCCGTTGATGGGCACTTGGGTTGCTCTCATGTCTTGGCTGTTGTGAATAATGCTGCGATGGACACAGGGCTGCATAAATCTTTTGGAATTGCTGACTTCAAGCTCTTTGGATAGATGCCCAGTAGTGGGATGGCTGGGTCATGTGGTATTTCTATTTTTAATTTTTTGAGGAATCTCCATACTGTTTTCCATGGTGGCTGCACCAGTTTGCATTCCCACCAGCAGTGGATGAGGGTCCCCTTTTCTCCACATCCTCTCCAACATTTGTTATTTTTTGTCTTGGTCATTATAGCATGGCCAGGCAATTCTTGAAGGCATCCCACGCTCCAGACCCTGCTGTATACGGGGGACCATTTTGCCAAGGAAGATTTGCCCTGAGCTAACATCTGTGCCAATCTTCCTCCCTTTTTTTTTCAGTATGCGGGCCGCCAACACAGCATGGCTGCTAACAAAGTGGTGTGGGTCTGTGCCCGGGACCTGAACCCAGGCTGCTGAAGTGGAGCACGTTGAACGTAACCACCAGGCCACCAGGGCCTGGCCCAGTCACTTTGCCTTTTTGACAGTCTCGCCTTCGGGGTCCTGCCTGAGAGTTACCTCCTCCAGGGAGCCCTCCCTGACTCCCTTGGGCTGAGCAACTTGCCACCACAGACCTCCTGGGCCCTGTTCCATCGCCAGGAGCCCTTGCTCCATTCTGGCCTGACCTCCCTGAGGGCAGGACCTAGATCTGTCTGTTCCCCTCTGGGTCTTGAGCACCCAGCTCAGGGCCCAGCACACGCTCGGTGCCTGATCAGTATCTCAGAAGGATGCTTAGAGGATGGGATGCCTGACTGAATGGATGCCCTTTCCTCCCCGCAGAACGACTTCCTCACTGGTGTCTTCCCCGCCAGCCCCCTCAGCTGGCTCTTCCTCTTCAGTGCAATCCAGCTTGCCTGGTTCCTCCAGCTGGATCCTTCCCTAGGACTCATGGAGAAGATCAAAGAGTTGCTGCCAGACTGGTGAGGTCCCCCATTTCAGCCCAATAACCTCCCTAATCCCTTTCCCTGCTCCCCATTCTCTATCAGTGTGCCGTGCCTGCTAAAGAAAAGTAACCTCTGAGACTTACTTTGGGACAGATTAACAAAGGTAGAGCATCAACAATAAGGAGGTGATTTCCTCTCTTCTCTCTGCACATTTTCCATCCTGGCTGCTTCTTACTAAGAGGGATGGTGACAACTAGAAAATGTCCAGATACGGTTATATATACTAACAAAAGTATGAGCTTGGCTAGTCTCCAGTGGTGTAGCCTCAGCCAAGAGACTTCACCATTCTTGGTGTCAGGGTCTTCATCTGTAAAATGGGGGTAAAAATAATTGCTTCTTAGACTAGTTGGAAGAATGTGGAATATTCAGTCCAGTGCCAGGAGGTTACTAAACGAGCTTGATTGAATTATTATAGTCGTTGCTCTCATCTTTGGGAAAGGTCTGGGAACCAGAGGCAAGTGACGTGGCAGGTTCTTAGCTTTGGATTAGTCCTCCTGGGGAAGGACGTTCAGATTTTGTGCAGACGGCCCCAAAGAGAAGATCCAGGATCGGAGGTAGAAATTTCCAGGAAGGCCAGATTTGCTCAGTCTGCAGAGGGGACACGACTGGCCCCAGGTCCTCCAGGTGGGCTCTGCTCACGTCTGTCTGATGGCAACTTTGCAGATGTGTTGATTTACTGTGGCTTTAGGCCAGTGTGCCCTAGACTTGAGATCGTATTGGAATCACCTGGAAGGCTTCTTAAAACACTGATTGCTGGGCTGCACCCGAAGAGAGCCCATCTTAGTAGGTCTCCGGGTGGGACCAGGAATCTGCGTTTCCAACAAGCTCCCAGCTGGTGCTGCTGCTGCTGGTCCAAGGGCCGCACTCCGAGATCCACCGCCTTAGAGTATCATTTGATAGCTGGGAGGGGAAAGTGACCCTTCAATAGAAATACCATCTCCCACTTGTTAAGCACCTACCCAGTTTCCATGGCAAGTGATTTTAGAAGCTTGGTGTCCCCAGAATCCTAGAGGGAGGGTGCTGAGAGAGGACCACGCCTCCTTTACAATGAGGAAAGTGTATTTCTCTGACTCTAATGCTATAAGATATGACTCCCACAGCCAAAAGGCCAGAGTCAGAGAATATTAGGAAGGGCTGGGCTGGGTGGGGCTGGAGGGGAGGGGGGTTCTGAGGCCAGGACACCCAGGCCCGTTCTCTCTTTCTGTCCCCCAGGGGCGGCCAGCACCACAGGCTTCGGGGGGTCCTGGCAGCGGCGCTGTTCGCCTCGTGTCTGTGGGGAGCCCTGATCCTCACACTTCACATCGCCCTGAGGCTGCTTCTGTCCTACCACGGCTGGCTCCTGGAACCCCACGGAGCCATGTCCTCACCCACCAAGACCTGGCTGGTATGGGAAGGGCAGAGCCCTACTCAAGTCCTGCCGGGACCCACTTCCTTGTCCCCCTCTCTCTGGGTCTCTGTCCCTCTCTTTGGGTCTGTGTCCCATTCTCCGTGGGATGCTACACACACCCCCGCCCCCAACCACACCCTGGTCCCCAGCCCCTGTGAGGGGTTCGATGACCCGCTAATTCCCGCTTCCTCCAGGCCCTGGTCCGCATCTTCTCCGGCCGCCATCCGATGCTCTTCAGTTACCAGCGCTCCCTGCCGCGCCAGCCCGTGCCCTCCGTGCAGGACACCGTGCGCAAGGTGGGCCCGGCACCCCGGGATGGGGCGAGAGGCGGCCCGGGGCGGACGGGCGCCGTGACCCACCCTCTTCTCCGCCTTGCCCCTCAGTACCTGGAATCTGTCCGGCCCGTCCTCTCCGACGAGGACTTCGACTGGACGGCGGGCCTAGCGCAGGAATTCCTGAAGCTGCAGGCGTCGCTGCTGCAGTGGTACCTGCGGCTCAAGTCCTGGTGGGCGTCCAATTACGTGAGTCCCCCACCCGAACGCCAAGGTGCTGAGCCCGCCCTCCTCACCCTGCGACCCTACGCCCCGCCCACGACACGCCCACAGCCCCATGCCCTGCGGGGATCGGAGCCTCCACCCAGGCAGGAGACCGTCCCGGGCCCCGCCCCCGCGCCCACCGTCCCGGGCCCCGCGCCCGCGCCCACCGTCCCCGGCCCCGCCCCCGCGCCCACTGGCTGAGCCCCGCGCCCGCGCCCACCGTCCCGGGCCCCGCCCCCGCGCCCACCCGGCTGAGCCCCGCCCCCGCGCCCACCGTCCCGGGCCCCGCGCCCGCGCCACCGTCCCCGGCCCCGCCCCCCGCCACGGTCTGAGCCCCGCCCCGCGCCCACCGTCCCGGGCCCCGCGCCCGCGCCCACCGTCCGGCCCGCCCCCGCGCCCACCGTCCCGGGCCCCGCCCCGCGCCCACCCGGCTGAGCCCCGCCCCCGCGCCCACCGTCCGGGCCCCGCGCCCGCGCCCACTGGTCTGAGCCCCGCCCCCGCGCCCACCGTCCCGGCCCGCGCCCGCGCCCACCGCCCCGGCCCCGACCCCGCGCCACTGTCTGAGCCCCGCCCCGCGCCACCGTCCCCGGCCCCGCCCCCCGCGCCCACCGTCTGAGCCCCGCCCCGCGCCCACCGTCCCGGCCCCGCCCCCGCGCCCACCGTCCCGCCCGCCCCGCGCCCACTGGTCCGAGCCCCGCCCGCGCCACCGTCCCGGCCCCGCCCCCGCGCCCACCGGTCTGAGCCCCGCCCCGCGCCCACCGTCCGGGCCCCGCCCCGCGCCCCACCGTGCCGAGCCCCGCCCCCGCGCCCACTGGTCTGAGCCCCGCCCCCGCGCCCACTGTTCCGGGCCCCGCCCCCGCGCTCAATATTAGTTTAAACCCCACTCCAGATGCTCGGATATTCTGGATCCTATGACCACGTTACAACATTCTGAGCCCTGTCCCCCAGGCTCCAACGTTCTGAGCCCGACTCTCCAATAATCCAAGCTCCGCCTCTGGGGCCCGCCCACACCCAGAGCTCCGCCCCCGACCCGCCTGTGTTTGAACCGCAATCCCAAAGTTTCAGCCCCTCGCCTAGCCGGCCAACTCTAAACCCCGCCCGCAGAATAGTTCGTTTCCACCGTCACTCTGCTTAAGGACACTCTCTCCAGAAGGGCTTCTATTCTGAGTTCAGGAGCTAAGTTCTTGATCGCACTCAGATGGGCTCCTTGGGAAACTGAGGCACAGAGCGAGTCAGCGATTCATCCAAATCGGGGCTTACAGGCCTCTCATTCTGTGGGAGCCGTCAATAGCCGTCAGACAGCGTGTGATGAGGGCGAGGCAGCCATGAAGAGACAGATGGGGTGGTGTAGTGTCGGGCGTGGGTGGCCAGAGAGGCCGCAGCGGGATAAAAGGAGCAGAGCTTCGGGAGGAGAAAGTATCAGGGCTGAGCCTTGAGGGTTGGAGAGAATTTGAAGCTGTCCGGTTGGTGGGAAGGAACAGCCCGGGCACAGATGGGCTGTAGGAAAGTCACAGGGCCTCCCCTGCTCCCTCCTGGGCTGGGAGCAAAAGGGCTTTACTCCCGCTGCAGCGAAGGGTTTCAAGGGTGGTGGTCACGAGAGGGGAGGGTGGAGAGGCGGGAGCAGCCTGGACCCCCGCTGAGGACCCTGGACTTTTTCTTGAGGGTGCTAGGGAGCCATGGGAGGATTCTGAGCAGGGATCAGCAGGGTCCCCTGCCCGGGGGACCCCGAGAAGGTCAGCTCCGGTGTGGGAAAAGACTGGAGGGGAGATGCTGGAGGCTGGGAGGTTGGAGTAAGGGTCCAGGGGGAAAGGATGAGGCCTCAGAGGGGGCTGTGGGACAGAGAGGAGGGGACAAGGCAGAGAGAGTCAGGGGGCAGGAGGGCAGGTTGGGAACTGCCAGGCTGTGAGGGGAGGGAGTGGGAGATGGTGAGTCTCACCTGGGGACTGTGGGAGAAGGGGAGCAGCTTTTGGGTGAAGACACTGAGCTCCATGGAGGCGACGGTGACCGACCTGGGGGTCCAGGGGAGACGCTCCTGGGCAGCCAGAGGCCCCGGGGAGAGCTCAGGAGAGAGGCCTGGGCAGTGACAGCAAACGAGGGCCCTCAGCTGTGGAAGGAAAATGAAACATTGGACTTGGGCGAGAAGATCAGGGGTGAGAATGTGGAGTGGGAAGGGCCGAGGGTCTGGGCCAGAGCCCCAGGAACAGCAGCATGGAAGGGTCCGTCACACAGGCCGAGTGGAGGGCACTGAGTCGTGTCTGGAGACCTAAGACAGAAACCAAGCCTTAGTTTTTAATTTTTTTCTCCTTCATGCTCTTGCACCAGATTCTGCTCTTAAAAAAAAAGAAAAATACACACACACACACACACAATATGTGTGTATCTCGCTGATATATTGCATCGTATCTCTAAGGCATTGCCAATTATAACATACTCCATTATCTTATCTACAAGAAAGAAAAAAAAGAGACCAACTAAACACACTTTCTTATCACGTACTCTGTTTATACAGGTTGAGCCTCATTATTTATGAATTTCATATTTGCAAATTCGCCTAGTTGCTAACATTTATTCGTAACCCCCCAATCAGTACTCACGGCACTTTCGGGGTCATTCGTGGACATGCGCAGAGTGGAGAAAAATTTGAGTTGCCGGATCTCGCGCTCGTTGCCAGGCAACACTCTGCCTTCTTGTTTCAGCTCTGGTACTGTAAACAAGTGTCTTTTTTGTGATCTACTTAGTTTCACGTTGTTTGTACTTTTAGGCTTTTTGTTGGTGATTTCGCTGTTTAAAATGCCCCCCAGGGCGGCACTGAAGGGCTGGCTGGCGTTCCTAAGCGGGGGAAGGCTGTGGTGTGCCCTGCGGAGAAAATACGTGTGTTAGATGAGCTTCATTCAGGCACAAGTTGTTGGCCGTGACTTCAGTGTGACCTAATCAATGATATATATTAAATAAGGTGTCTTTAAAGATAAACACACATAAAACCAGCTTATATATTGATTTGTTGATGAAAATGTCACCAGAGACTCGAAGGAAGCTAACCCCGTATTTCCCCAGGATCAGTGGTTCAGTATTCACTGATCCAGCGTTCGCGGCGACTTTAGAGAACATAACTACCGCGAGAAACGAGAATCAACTGTAAATTGAAAGAGCTCCTTTAGCCTTCTTTTAGACATGGATTTATATCAACTATCACTCCTGAGCAAACTGAAAAAAGGAAACTGTAAATGTAATAAATCGGCCAGGGCGTCCCTAAGACTTCTGCCTTCAGACTCCAAGTCTTCGCGGTTGCTTTTTGATTCAGACTTGTCCGTATCTTCCTGCCTTCCACACGGCTTCATCCTCTGTGCTGTCAAGAACCTTGCAGTGTGGCACTTCCTGAAAGATCGTATGATGTAATTAAAGCCATTGGTGCAGGGTACTAAAGCAGCTTTTCGTAAAACCTGCCTAATTTAGGCTTTGCTCTGGACACTTTCTAACCAGGTCTGATTCATCACCACCTCCCTGGCCCAACCATTTGGTTCCTGAGAGTTAAAATCTTGCTCCACAATTATCTCCAGGATTTTCTTCTGAGCCATAGACACCCTTCAGCCAGCTTTGATGCTGGTGTGTTTGGTTGGTTTTTTAAAAAATGTTATATGTTATCCGTATAACGTTACAATGTTGTACATATAGTAAGATGCACAAATCTTAAGCGTATGGCTTGATGAAGTTTTATGTGTGTGTGTGTGTGACCACATAAGCACGGCCTACATCAAGGTATAGGACTTTTCCAGCATTTGCTGGAATGTTCTGGATTTTTCCAGAAGATGTAGCACATTCCCAGGGAATGACAAGTGCATTCCACCTGGGCTAAGTGTAAGGATGTGTAGGATTCCATTGACTTTAAGATGCAAGTAAATATGTATCTGTCTTCACAGAGTCTATGAGATTCTATGTCATCTAGGAAACATTCAAGTCCCCTCCGACCACCTCTCTTTAATTCTTGTCCCTCCCACCATCACCTATGAGACACACTTCAATCAGAGTCTTTTCTAAGTGTTTATATACATATATTTGTACCCAGGAATATAAATACACACACAGACATATACATATATATCACATAATATATATAATTTTTTCTTGTGATAAAACATATATAACATAAAATTTACCATTTTAACCACTTTTTTTTGCATATGCTTTTTGGTGAGGAAGATTGGCCCTGAGCGAACATCTGTTGCCAATCTTCCTTTTTTTTTTTTTTTCTCCTCAAAGCCCCAATACATAGCGGTATATCCTAGTTTAGGTCATTCTAGGTCTATGTGGGACGCCACCACAGCATGGGTTGATGAGTGGTGTGTAGATCCGTGCCCAGGATCCAAACCCGCGAACCCCGGGCCACCGGAGCGGAGTGCGTGAACTTAACCACTTGGCCACGGGGCTGGCCCCTGAGCACTTTTAAGTGTACAACTCAGTGGCATTAAGTACATTCCCAATTGTTGTGTAACCTTCCCTACTATCCATTTCCGGAACTTTTTTGTCCTCCGAAACAGAAACTCTGTACCTGTTAGGAAAAACATCCCCATCCCCAATTCCCCCCCGTCCTGGTAAGCTCTATTCTACTTCCTGTCACTAAGAATCTGCCTAGTCTAGATTTTTCATAGAAGTGGAATCACACGCTATTAGTCCTTTTGTGTCTGACTTAGCATAACGTTTTCAGGGTCCAGCCGTGTGGCAGCCTGTATGAGAACTTCATTCCTTTTCAGATTAACTTTCCATTGTATGGATAGACCACATTTTTGTTGTCCATTCATCTGTTGATGGACACTTGGGTCATAGCGGTATTTTTAAAATCTCAGATGGGATCATTTCACACATCTTCTTGTGCGCCCAGCCTTTTTCACTGGGCAGCGTGTGTCGGTGCCCATTCTGTGTCAGTAATATAAATGGACCTTGTTCTTTTTACCAGCTGCATAGTATTCCACACCATGAGTGTTGCTGGATTTGGCCAGCTGATGCTCCATTGATGGACACCCAGGTTATGGCTAGTTACTGATCACAGTGGCCCCCTTCATTGAGCTCCACCCTCCCTGTTTGACACAGCAATGTCTGGGGGTGCTCACCCCTCCCATTGTCCCCCCCTGTCGGCCCCAGCCACCCCAGCTGTTTGTCTCTCTGTCCCACTCCCAGGTCAGTGACTGGTGGGAAGAATTTGTGTACCTGCGCTCCCGCAACTCGCTGATGGTGAACAGCAACTATTATATGATGGTGAGAAGGGGCGGGGCTGGGAGATGGGGAGAGGCTGGGGATCCTGGCTCCCCGGGGCCTGGGTGGGATGTGGGGTTGAGGGTTCGTGACCCGAATCACAGTGTGGAATTCACCATCCCGCACCCTCGGTTGGGGTCAGGACCTGCGTTTGGGGTCGGGGCTCCCACCAGGGGCAAATCTGACCCCGGGTGTCTGCCTGTCCCCTCGCCGGCCTCCAGGACTTCCTGTACGTCACGCCCACACCGGTGCAGGCGGCTCGCGCGGGGAACGCGGTCCACGCGCTCCTCCTGTACCGCCACCGCCTGAACCGCCAGGAGATCCTGCCGGTGAGAGGGCCGCTGTGGGCTGGGACCGAGGCCGTGGTCCTGTGGCCGTGCGGCCACGGGGGTCCTGGGAGGCAGTTCACGAGCCCACGGTCTCCTGCAGACTTTGCTGATGGGAATGCGGCCCTTATGCTCTGCCCAGTATGAGAAGATATTCAACACCACGCGCATTCCTGGCATCCAAAAAGGTGAGACCCCTGTCCCCTCCTCCCTGACAGAGGCGGAACAGTGTCATGACTAAGGGCACGTTCTCTGGAGCCAGCCTCCTGGGTTCGAATCCGAGCTCCGTCGCTCCCTAGCTGTGTGACCTTGGGCAAGTTATCACCCTCTCTGAGCCTCAGTTTCCTCATCTCTAAAATGGGATAAGAAGGGGACATACGGTGATGAGGATTAAATGAGCGCTAAGAACAGTGCAAGCCACACGAAAGGGCTAATAAGTGGTTGTTATTCTTATAATGTGTCCCACCTTTCTGCCCTCCACGCATCTGCCCACACCATCCCAGACCACATCCGCCACCTCCGTGACAGCCGACACGTGGCCGTCTTCCACCGGGGCCGCTTCTTCCGCGTGGGGACCCACTCCCAAAGTGGCCTGCTGTCCCCGCGGGCCCTGGAGCAGCAGTTCCAGCGAATCCTGGACGACCCCTCGCCCGCCTGCCCCCACGAGGAGCACCTGGCGGCTCTGACGGCCGCTCCCAGGTGAGGGTCGGAGGGGAGGCACCCAGGGGCCTGAGGTTGCGGAAGGGCAGGTTGGGGGCCGGGGGATTGGAGGCTGGGCAGGGGGGAGGGCCAGCCGGGGCTCAGGCACGTCCCCCGACAGGGACATGTGGGCCCAGGTGCGGAGGTCCCTGAAGACCCGGGCGGGGGATGCCCTGGAGGCTGTGGAAGGGGCTGCTTTTTTTGTGTCACTCGACTCGGAGCCCGCGGGGCTGGCCAGGGAGGACCCCGCAGCCTCGCTGGATGCCTATGCCCACGCCCTGCTGGCAGGCAGGGGCCACGACCGGTGAGTCAGCTGGGGGGCCCTGGGGACCCCCCAACCCTGACCTGCGACCCCAGAAGCTGAGGACCCCGGACCCCACGTCTTGAGACCTGGGGACCTTGGACCCAGATAACCTGCAGACCTGGGACCCCAGATCTCAACCCAACTCCTGAACCCCAGATCTGAGGCCACCAACCCATGACCTGGACCCTCAGACCTTCAGAAACCCTAGACTGGGACTCCAGACTCAGCACCCCAGACCCGCGGACCCCAGATCTGAGGACCCCCCAAATGCCAAATCTGGGACCGCTCGACCCAGAGACCCTCCCCCCCCAACCAGAACCGTGAGCCGGGGGACCTCAGACTCAGAACTGCAGGCCACCAAATCCTCAGACCTTCCTGCAGGCACCCCAAACCCGGGACACCTCTCAGAGACCATCCAGAACCACCCAGCAGAGACCCCTACCCTCTTAAAGATGCCCCCACCAGCCCCGATTCCCAGAAAAATCTCCCCACCCTGGAGCCCCCACAAGGCCCACAGAGGGTACCCCGCGTTCCCTGCTGGTCCTCGCTCTCTGGTGACCACTCTGAACTCTCCCCCCGCAGCTGGTTTGACAAATCCTTCAGCCTGATGGTCTTCTCCAATGGGAAGCTGGGCCTCAGCGTGGAGCACTCGTGGGCTGACTGCCCCATCTCAGGACACATGTGGGAGGTAGGGCAGCCAGCCGCGCCCCATCCTGCAGACCGCCGCCGCCCCCATTTCCAAAGATCTTCCTCTCTGGGGCCTTAGAGTCAGGGGAAAAAACGGAGGCTCAGAGAGAGGCAGAGACCGGACCAGGGGACCCAGCAAATAAGGAGGTCTGGATTTCTGACCTTCCTCTGACAAATGGGCATTTGGGGCTCACAGAAGGGAAGTGATTTGCCCAGAGTCCCAGAGCCAGAAGTTGTACAGTGAGACTAGGATTCCAGAATGCTCTGAGACCAGAATGTGAGGCCTTCCAACCACATCACGCTGAGTCAGAGTGATCTTCCAGCTCTGCTTTGCTGTGTGACCTTGGGCAAGTGACTCCCCTCCTCTGAGCCTCAGTTTCTGCTTCCTCAGGTGAAAAGGTTGGATTCTCTTTTATCTTTGAGCTCCTGTCCAGTCCTGAGAATATTAGCATCTGTATTTTCTCTATTTTATTCAGTCCCTAAATGACAAGGAGTGGCGTCTGTCCTGCCTAGGGTTCCCTCTCTTCCGTATTGTTGCATGAGGGGTTGGATGGGGCCCAGGGCGGTGAATGGGCGTGTATGAGGGGAAGGGAGGCCCCTTCCAGATCTTGGGAGCAGCCCCAGGTAAGCACTGACCCGTCTGGGCCTAACTCCTTTGTAAAATGGGAATTTTCCCCCTTTGATTATATTAGTAAATGAAACTCAATTCAGTTTAACCTCAGACACTTCATGTCAACACAGCACCTCTGCATATTGACTTTGAACGAAGAGATGTCACGTAGAGTAAGATGAAAAGAAATGCAAACTCTAAGGCATAAAGCAATGTGTTCTTTTCTCCATATATTTCTAACGTCCAAATGGGGATGTCAGCCCCTTCTTCTAGGTGGTCGGGAGAATTAGGGGGAAGGTTGGCGGGTCCTGGGTGCTCCATCAGGGCAGAGTTAAAATATTTCACAACTAGCAGGGCGTGGGTACCACTCATCAGAATGGATTCCGACCCCTCGGAAGCTCATGTTATGTTCAGCTTTCTCTCTCCTGTCCCAGGAGTGGGGTGAGCGATCGGGGGGTCCTCGGGAGGGCTGGGCAGCTGTTGGTGGCTCCTCATCCACCAGTCAGCAGTACAAGGTCAGGGAACACCAGCTGAGTATCAGTCTCCGTCCTGCTCTCAGTGACCTTGAACCTGAGAACCCACCTGTGACCATCAGAGGCTTCTGTGTCTCCAGGACAGCCCCCACTCCCAGAACAGACTTAGGAAAAGAGGTCCCTGGTGAGATGCCCTCAGGCCAGAGCGGGGAAGGGACTCTGACATCCTCCGTTTGTACACAGTTCACTCTGGCCACAGAATGCTTTCATCTCGGCTACTCGGCAGACGGCCATTGCAAGGGGCACCCTGACCCCTCGCTGCCCCATCCCCAGCGGCTGCACTGGGACCTTCCAGACAAGGTGAGGCCAGGTGTCTGGGCCTCTTCTCCAAGTCCCCAAGTTCCTGACTTTGACCCTAAACTCATCCCTGCCCCCAGTCTCAACCTCCAAATCACCCCTGTCCCCTACTCCATTCCCAGCCCCAACTCTAACCCTGCCCCCACCCCAGTCGCATCCTTGACCAACTGCCCTCTCCGTCCTCGGCCTCAGTCCGGTTCTGTCCCCACTCAAAGCCCAACTCCATCCTCACCCCAAGCTCTCCTCCGTCCCTAACACCGTCACCATGCCGGAATTCAACCTCATCTCCAACCACGACCCCTCTGAAGCCCACCTAGACCCCATCCCAGTCCAACCCCCACCCACCCCATGCCGACTTCAGTTCAGTCCTCACACCCAGCCCCATTCCGTGTCCCGCCCCAGTCCCCAGCCCCGATTCCATCCCAGCCTTCACTGCCACCCCGATCCCCATGTTTAACCCAGCCCCTCAGCTCCTTCCCCTCTTTGTCCCCATTTCCGTATTTCACCCCAACCCTAACTCCATTCCCATCTCCACTTGCAGCCCCATCCCGAACTCGAACCCTACCCTCATCTGTAACCCCAGCCATTCCTCCCTCCCCCCTTCTCTGGCAGATCCATCTATCCATCTCTCTAGCGCTGAGGGGAGCCAAGACCTTGTCTGGAAACATCGACTGCCACGTCTTCCCCTTCTCCCACTTCGGCAAGAGCTTCATCAAACGCTGCCACCTGTCTTCAGACAGCTTCATCCAGATGGCCTTGCAGCTGGCCCACTTTCGGGTCAGTTGGATTCCCCAACCCCAGCCCCCAGCCTCGGTTCCCCTGGGCCCCAAGACCCGCCCCGTCAGCCCCTGTAATGATTCTTGTTGGCCACTGCCATTGTGGGGCCGCCATCTTGATTTCTCTCTCCCAACCGCACAGTCCTGGGCAGGAGGAGGCTGGAGGTCCAGACAGAGGTGGGTCAAGTCTGTGAAGACTTCCTGAGCCCAGCTGAGCGGCTCCTCTCCTCCTTGTCCCCCAGGACAGGGGTCAATTCTGCCTGACTTATGAGTCGACCATGACCCGCTTGTTCCTGGAAGGCCGGACGGAGACGGTGCGATCTTGCACGCGGGAGGCCTGCAACTTTGTGAGAGCCATGGAGGACAGAGAGAAGACAGTGGGTGTGGCCTCGTTTGAGGCTTCGGTCACTTCCATGTTCTCGCTCATACCTTTGCAAACATTTACAGAGCACCTTGAGGGCCAGGCCCCATGGTGGGCCCTGGGGACAGAGGAGGGACACCACCTGGTCTCTGACCTCAAGGAGCTCACTGATGGGGGAGACAGAGATAGTCCAGACAGGTGATACCTGATTTAATGGGGGTCGCACAGGGCACTGGGGGAGCACCCAAGAGGGAGCCATGGTTCCACCATGTAGTTCTCTTTGATTATTTAACCTCCGTGCATCCTTGTGACTTCCATTTGCACCATTCTTTATGTTCCCTATATAACCTCTCTGCCCAGAACCCCCAGGTACCTCTGTTCCCTCTCCCCAGCTACCTATGAGGTATTATGGGCCTATGGAAGGAGTTTGGGCCCTAGAGTCAGACAGACCTGGGAACCCACCTGATTCTGCCTTGCTGTGTGACCCTGGGCAAGTGACTTCCCCTCTCTGAGCCTGTTTCCCCTCTGTAAAATAGAGTTGATATCTCTGCCTTGCAGGGATTTTGCAAGCTGGGTTGAGGTCCAGGGGTGTGACAGGCCCCAGCAGTAAGCCCACTTCCTGTCTTTCCATGACCTCTGACCTCCCCGGGGACCCCAGGACCCACAGTGCCTCGCCTTGTTCCGCGTGGCGGTGGACAAACACCAGGCTCTGCTGAAGGCAGCCATGAGCGGACAGGGGGTCGACCGTCACCTCTTCGCGCTCTACATCGTGTCCCAATTCCTCCACCTGCAGTCGCCCTTCCTGGACCAGGTTGGGGTGCAGGGAAACGGTTAGAGAGGGAAGTGGGGAACCACGGGAGGAGAAAGGCGCTTTGGGGCAGCAGGAGAGTGTCAGGGAGCCGGGAACAAGAGAGAAAGGGAAAGGGCGGAGAGGGAAAAGGGGCGGAGAGAAGAGGAGAGGACCATTGTCATGGAAAGAAACGGGAGGGGTGTGGTCATGGAGAAGAGGGGGGCGTGGTCATGGAGGGGAGAGGGGCGTGGTCAGGGAGGATAGGGGGCGTGACCAGAGACAAGAAGGGGTGTGGTCAGGAGAAGAGGGGGCGTGGTCAGGGAGAAAAGGGGCGTGGTCAGGGAAGAGGGGGCGTGGTCATAGAAGAAGGTGTGGTCAGGGAGAGGAGAGGGGCGTGATCAGGGAGAAGAAGGGGTGTGGTCAGGGTGGAGAGGGGGCGTGGTCAGGGAGAGGGACTCTGTCGATGGGAAAAGACCTGGGTGGGGAGGAGAAAGGGAAAGGGCGTGGTCAGGGAAGAGAAAGAGATGTGGTTGGGGAGAAACGGGAAGGCTGTGGTCAGAGAGGAGAGGGCGGGGTCAAGGGAGACCTGGGAGATGGGCGTGGTCAAGAGGATAAGAATGTGGTCAAGGAGAAGAGAGGGACAGGGTCAGGGGAGAAAGGGAGATGGGCGTGGTCACGGAAGGAAACGGGAAGGGTGTGGTCAGAGAGAAGAGAGGGGCGTGGTCAGAGAGAAGAGGGGCAGGGCCAGGGAGAGGGATGTGGTCAGGGAGAAGAAGGGGGCGTGGCCAGGGAGAAATAGGAAGGGTGTGGTCAGAGGGGAGATGGGCGTGGCCAGGGGGAGAAGAATTCGGGCCCGGAGAAAAGAGACTGAGTCAAGCGGCGAAAGGGAGAGGGGCGTGGTCAGGCGTACTAGGGGAGAAAGACGGATTCAGAGAGGAGAGAGGGGTGTGGTCAAAAGCAGCAGAGCAGAGAGGTGGGGTCAGGGAGGGGAACGGCAGAGCTGCAGGCAGAAGCCAGATTTAGGGGAAACAGGCAGTCAGGGAGGAGATCAGAAAGGCGCAGGGCTGCGTGCAGTGGAGTTGAGCCAACGGGGCCTGATCTGCGGGTCTGTTTGTCTTCATTGCACACGTGACCATCTCCTGTCCCTCAGGTTCACTCGGAGCAGTGGCAGCTGGCTACCAGCCAGATCCCGGTTCAGCAAGTCCACCTGTTTGACGTCCACAACTACCCCGACTACGTTTCCTCTGGTGGTGGATTCGGGCCTGTGAGTGGAGCTGGGTCCGACCGCAGCTCCCTGGACCCTGGGCCCTGAGGAAGGAGGGGGCTGGGGGTCTGCACTCCTGCGCTATGGGGGACGAGGGGACTGGGGGCTATTTTGTTCCCCTCACTCTGTCTCTCTCCAGGCCGATGACCATGGTTACGGTGTTTCTTACATCTTCATGGGGGATGACACGATCACCTTCCACATCTCCAGCAAAAAATCAAGCACAAAAACGGTGAGACAAACTTGAACCCCCGTGTCCCCTCCTCCTCCCCGTCCCCTCCTCCCTCAGGACCCAGGAGTTTAGGCTCCTAACTCCCTCCTCTCCTACAACCTAGGAGTCCAGACTCCCAACTCCTTGCTGCCCCACGATCCAGGAGTCCCCGTCCCCAGCCCCCTCCTCCCTCAGACCCAGGAGTCAGAGACCCCAGCCCTCCTGTGTCTCAGCCTGGCCCCAGAGGCCCTCTCCCGGCTTCCCCTGCACATGACACGTTTCTCCTTCCAGGACTCCCACCGGCTGGGGCAGCACATCGAGGATGCGTTGTTGGATGTGGCCTCCTTGTTCCAGGAGGGGCAGCGTCTGAAGCGTGGGTGCAGAGGGCTAGGGCAGGACGACTCGGGACACAGGTGCGGCTCTCTCCCCTGCCACACTAGGGGCTCCAGGGCACCCACGACATCCGCCAACTTTTGACCCCTTCCAGCGGGGAGCTGGTCTCCCCAGGAACTAGGGGGAAGGTCTCTATGGCTGGGCTGGTGCAGGATGGAGGCAGCCCGTTTGGAAATCCCACATCTGGTCCAATAAAGCTGTGTAAGCTGGATGTGTGGCGTCCACTCTGCTCTTGGGCTGGGCAGGGGTGGGAGAGGTGAGGGTCAGGGTGGAGGAGGAGAAAAGGTCCCATCCATCCCCAGGCCTCATGAATTCCCAGTTACAGTCACAACGCCAGCCACAACCGCCAACACCTGCCCAGTTTTCTGCACTTCCAGTTCCAGTCGCGCCAAAGCTAACCATTCTAGTCCGATCCCCGTCAAACAACCCTGCAAACTGTCATTAGCCCAGTTCCAGGTGGCCCAACGCCAACTGCTCACTCCAAACTTAAAGATCACCACCAAGGGGCCCGCCCGGTGGCTCAGTGGTTAAGTGCGCATGTGCCACTTCTCAGCGGCCCCGGGTTCCCCGCTTCGGATCCCGGGTGCAGACATGGCACCACTTGTCAAGCCATGCTGTGGCAGCATCCCACATATAAAGTAGAGGAAGATGGGCATGGATGTTGGCTCAGGGCCAGTCTTCCTCAGCAAAAAGAGGAAGATTGGCAGTAGTTAGCTCAGGGCTAATCTTCCTCAAAAAAAAAAAAAAAAAAAAAGATCGACACCAATCCAGCCACTCCAGTTGACACCTCCCAAATGAATCCCCAAGATTCTTCTTACCCAACCTCAACCCCGGCCATTTCGACCTCCACCTCGATGACGAACTCAGCTCCCGTGACTAGGAAACGCACAACCTAATGTTCACTCTTCTAACCACTGCCGTAATTCCAACAACCAGCGAGTCCACGACACTACGCCCCACCACACCCAACAGCTCAGCCACAGTTCCAACAGACAACCAGCACAAAAACATCCAACCCCAAACTCCAAAACTCCTTTCCAATCTCCACTATAACCCAAACTTAAACTTGACTCATAGTCATGACTTTAAACACCACACTCCTTGTCCACACCCCCAGTCCACCCCCGCCACCACTACAACCCTCACCAACTCAACTGCAGTCATGTCAACACCAACGCCATCTGACCACACCAAGGCCCCCAATCATCCATCCCCCCACGGCCATGATTCCAATACTCCAGGGCTCCAGGCCCCATTGCTTCCACCAAGCCAAGCATGTAACAGAAGCCCGAGGAGAAAATCAAAATGCCGAACACTTTCACTTCCGCCAGCCCAACGTCCACACCCAACGCACCAATCCTAGTGGTTTCAAAGAATGTTCACACCACTTTGACACTCCTTCCCCTCCTCTTGGTGTGGCCTGGACTTAGTGACTCTTTTTCTAACTCAAAGATTATGGTAGAAGTTACTAGGATGCGAAAGACCTTCTGGCTCCCTTCTTGCTCTCTCTCTGAATCCTCGCTCTGGGGGCAGCCAGCCACCATGGCACGAGGACAGTCAAGCAGCCTATGGAGAGGCCCACGTGTGAAGAACTGAGGCCTCCTGCCAAGTGCCAGTGAGGAACACGTGAGGCAATGATCTTGCAAGCAGATTCTCCAGCCCCAGTCCAGCCTTTGGATGACTGCAGCCCAGCTGACATCTCGACATCGGCCATGGGGCCGGCCCCAATAAACATTTCTTGAATGTCAAAAGAGATATGTAATTTTTTCAAAATTTCTGAGCTGACTAGGTATTTGATTGGAAGGAATTACGTTAATTCTTTTTGTGTGATAATAGCATTCTGATCATGTTGAAAAGAATCCTTATCTTTTTAAAAAATGCACAGTAGGAGCCGGCCCAGTGACATGGTGGTTGAGTTTGTGTGTTCTGTTTCGGTGGCCTGGGGTTTGCAGGTTAGGATCCCAGGCACGGACCTAGCACTGCTCATCAAGCCATGCATCCCACATAAAATAGAGGAAGATGGGCACAGATGTTAGCTAAGTCACAATCTTCCTCACACACACACAAAAAAAAGAAAGAAAGAAATGCACAGTAAAGTATTTATGGATAAAACAATATGATGCAGATATGTTTTCAAATGAGCCAGTGGAGAGGGGTTATAGTAGTTGCCTGTTGTGGCTGTAACAAGTTGCCTCAAATTTGGCACCTTAAATAACACAAATTCATTGTCTTACAGTTTTGGAGGTCAGAAGTCCATCACGGGTCTCACTGGGCGGAAATCAAGATGGGGGCAGGGTTGCATTCCTTTCTGTAGATTCTGGGGGCGAATCCATTTCATCCTCCTCTTCTAGAAAGCTTCTAGAGGCCACTCACAGCCCCTTCTCCATCTTCACAGCCAGCAGCACTGCATCCCTCTGTGCCTTTCTTCTCTAGTCACATTTTCCTATGACGGACGCCTGCCATGATCTTTCACTTATGAGGACCCTTGTCATTATCCCGGGCCCACTTGCCTAAACCGGGACCAGCTCCCTGTCCTAAAACCAGCTGATTAGAAACCTTAATTCCACGTGCAACCTAATTGCCCTTTGCCGTGGAGCACGATGTATTCACAGGTTCCGGGGGCATCTTCTGGGGAAGCTTCGTCCTCCCTACCACAGGGGCAGAGACGAAACAAGATTGGTGATGAGTTAATGATGAGTGACGCTAGGGGTAAGGTCCCTGGGGTGAGGGGGTTCATCACATCCTACTTTTGTATATGTGTCAAAATTCTGAAAGAAAGAGTTAAAATGAGTAAAAATACTGCTCAGCCTTTTTCTTCCTCTGTCAGCTGATTATAAAGAACTCCTTCCCCTCCAGCCTTGCCCAACACAGTCACAAGAGTCAGCTAAGGGACAAGAGCCAGTGAATGTCCCGGGGGTCCAGCCTGCCTGCTTAGGCAGCTTCTGTTTGTCCTCTGGTCCTGCTTTTGTCTGATCCCAGATCCAACGTCTGATCTATCCAGCCTAAAATGCTTGGGGGGGGTCCAACAGAATGAAGTCACGATGCTCCATGCTGGCTGTGCGTCATGTGATGTTCTGTGTTCTTTTCTTTCTTTGCTGAGGAAGATTGTCCTGAGCTAATGTCTGTGCCCATCTTCCTCTACTTTTTGCCTATGGGACGGCACCACAGCATGGCTTGAAGAGCAGTGTGTAGGTCTGCGCCTGGGGTCAAAACCCATGAATCCTGGGCGCCAAAGCAGAGCACGGGAACATAACCACTATGCCACCACACCAGCTCCTGATGTCCTGTGTTCTGATGCTCCATCTCCATCAGGGCTGGATACCATGCCAGGAATTCTTTTTTTTTTTTTTTTGAGGAAGATTAGCCCTGAGCCAGCATCTGCCACCAATCTTCCTCTTTTTGCTGAGGAAGACTGGCCCTGAGCTAACATCCGTGCCCATCTTCCTCTACCTTAGATGTGGGACGCCTGCCATAGCATTGCTTGCCAAGCGGTGCCATGTCCGCACGGGGATCCAAACCCGTGAACCCCAGACCACCGAAGCAGAACATGCGCACTTAACCGCTGAGCCACCAGGCTGGCCCCTAGGAATTCTTTTTGAATGGCACATGTTCTTGCTTCAGAATCCTGGGGTCAATGCCGTGATTCTCCTATTGGGAGAATCCTTGGCATAAACTCTGCCAATCTTTGCCAATCCATGGATATGTCTAGTACCACGGGGTCTGCTGGGTCCCATGACCTGGTCGGCAGAGCTGCTCGCATTGTGGCTGATACTGGGTGCAGGGCCTTTCCTGGCCCGGGGGCCACTCAAAGCTGGGACTTGTCCATGTGACCCAGAAAATGGACCGGTGTAGTATCTCCAAGTGTAGAATACGCTTCCTCCAGAGCGTGAAGACGCCTGTGCCACAGAATGAAGATCACGCGCTTCCTTCTTAGCGATGACATGCCTGTTTTATCCTTTACTTGTAGTCAATCCTGTGCCCCAGGCTGCTGGGCTCCTAAGGCCTTCCCTGATGCAGCAGGTCCCTGAGACGCTGTGCAGTTTATTTCCCACCCCCTGGAGGGCGTGTGTCTTACCCACACCTCCAACGCACTTACTTCTTGTTCATCCAATCTAGTTAACACGATATTATTGATAGAGTGAACCAATGTGGTGTTTTGAAGAATAGTTCAGCCAGTACAGTGAGCCACACACATAATTAAAAATTGTTGGGGCCGGCCTGGTGGCACAGCAGGTAAGTTCGCATGTTCTGCTTCAGCGGCCCGGGGTTCGAGGGTTCGGATCCCGGGTGCGGACATGGCACTGCTTAGCACGCCATGCTGTGGTAGGCGTCCCACATGTAAAGTAGAGGAAGATGGGCATGGATGTTAGCTCAGGGCCAGTCTTCCTTAACAAAAAGAGGAGGATTGGCAGCCGATGTTAGCTCAGGGATAATCTTCCTCAAAAAAAAAAAAAAAAAAAAAAAACAAGTTGTTAACGTTGCGCATGCCTGGATTGGAAGACAATACTTTAAGATGTCATTACTTCCCAGAACGTTCTACAGAGTCAGTGCAACCCCTACCAAAATCCCAGTGGCATTTTTGGCTGAAACAGAAGAATCCACTCTACTTTGAAGAGCCAAAATAATCTTGAAAAAGAAGAACAAAGGTGGAGACCTCACATTTCCTGATTTCAAGACTTAGGACAAAGTTACAGTAATCAAAAATAGCATGGCGCTGGCACAGGAACAGACACATGGACCAAGGGAAGAGGACAGATAGCCCAGAAGTCAACCCTTGCATACGTGGCCAAGTCATCTTCCACAACTGTGCTAAGGGCATTCAACGGGGAAAGGACGGTCTTTTCAACAAACGGTGCTGGGAAATTGGATACCCACCTGAAAAAGAACAAAATTGGACCCTTACCTTGCTTCATCTACAAAAATTCACTCAAAAGGATCAAAGACCTAAATGTATGAGCTAAGACCATAAAACTCTCAAAAGAAAACATAGGGGGAAACCCTGATGACACTGGAGTTGGCAATGACTTCTTGGGTATGACAGCAAAAGCACAGGCAGCAAAAGAAAAAAAGAGACAAATTGGACTACATCAGAATTTAAAACTTCCAGAGCCGGCCCTGGTGGTCTGGAGGGTAAGATTTGGCGCTCTCACCGCCACAGCCCGGTTCGTTTCCCAGTCGTCGAGCCACACCGCCATCTGCCAGTTGTCATAC